CGTTTTTTTTTTCAACAAATAATAAAAAATGTTTCTGAATAAAAAGTGAAGCCCGAAACAATTTCCTCTTTTTTTATATGACATGAATAAACACATTTATTGTCAATATGTAGGTACAAATCAGTCGAATCAAATTTATCTGTTGTTAACATGCAGATGTGCAAAAAAAACGTGCAACTCGTTTGCAGAACGTCATTTTTTAGCATGCCACTAGTACCTCGTAAAAATCCTTTTTGTGACATCCAGACTTTCATTGTGTATTGTTATTATTACCATGAAAGAATTTTAAAAATCAGCAGTTCGAAATAATCATTGAATTTAGAAGAAAATGTAATAAACATACACACTATATTACGTTTTAGATACGAATATTTAACTACGTATGTTAAAAACTAAAAGTGGCAAGAGTCTTGAACACGTTTCAGCAATAGAAAAAAATATGTGTAAAACTAAAATATCATCTAGGCAATGTAATAGTAGAAAAAAAAGTAAAGTTATTTGTTATGTTTTCAAGTGCGAGAAAACACTTTCTATAAATTCTAGTCAAAACTGTATTCTCATCTAATAATAAACTATAATAAAAATAGTAACCTTGTCCTTGCCTTTTTTTTCAATTTCATTTCAACAAGCGATGAAAGAACGAAAGTCTAAAGTATTTATCAAAATGTTGGCTGTAAATCCGTGCGCCTTGTTCCCTGTGAATTACTCAACGGCGTATGTGCAATTAATAATTTTTTCGTGAATGGGTAAACAAATAAAATATAAAGCTTTATTTAAGTTGCTTGAATGTTTTATAGCCCCATAAAATTTAAAAAATAACAATTATGTATGAAAGCATTAATCATCTGAAATGAACTTTTATAATGTTTGATATTTCGATTTATTGATTGCTTACATTTTAATCAAATACTGTCATTGTATTATTTATACAAGGAAAATGAATCAACTAATTTAATCAAAGGCAATTTATATTTATTGTAAGTCTGTCAATATAAATTGATCAAAAGAAATGCCGTCGCTTTGTAGCAACAAAGTTTGTGTAATTTTTTTTTGTTTTAGTACAGTTGGCGAGGAAGTTATGTTTATACTTACTTTTTTTTTGCGTATCTGTTAAAAACTCGTGTATCAGTCTTATAGGGAGTAATCTTGACTACTTATTTTTGTCAGTTTATTACATCAAACGGTAAAAAAATAAATTGGATAAGTGTTCGTGGTGATAAAATTTTGGAATTAAATTATAACAAGTGTTATTCTGAACACTAAATCACTGGAGTAAAAATTAATAACCTGATCAATTAATTTTTATTTTTTAACTTATCGATATTGTAGTGACTATTCTGACATATTAAAAGAATTATTCTTGTAAAGTACTTTTACTCTCCCTTACTTTATAAATAATATGTAGTAGTTAAATCTAGACACTAATACATCAAAAATTAAAAAAATTAAAGTGAACCTATATAATCTGTATTTAGCGTCGTTTAAAATATTAATAAACTTGAAAGCCTGTGTACTTGCATAGTAATTTCTTCGAAAATAATCAATGGAACGCAAAAATTCCAAAAAATTCACGTCTGTGTTAGTTTCAATTTTTCTTGTAACTTATACAATTTTTAATATTTGTTCCTCCCAAAACTGGCATTAATGTTTCGAAAAAGTTCGTGCTGTTTTTGGTTAATATTATTTGGTTGCAGAGCAGAAAAATACAACGGCACAATTTTGCCCTCCGTTAAATTGAATTATAGTTAAACATGATAAGTTTTTAAATCAATGGGTGTTTAAACGTTTTATAAATAACATTTTTATTTAAAATAAAAATAGAAATCGGTGTAATTTTACAAATACTGAAATAGCAAATGCTGTGTGGCCCACTTTTAAGACTTCCGGCAATGTTTTGTTATATAAATAAAGTAATGCATGAAGGCATGCGTGTAATAGTAAAAGACACATATGTTCACTTCTTAATACGTTTGTATATATTATTCATCATGTCGAAATCATTACTATTCGTTAACCTTCAACAGATTTTTTCCGTTTCGAAACCAAAAAAGAACAAACATTTCTGGCAATTAAAGTTGAAAAATATTCTCATTATATAGATGGTATATTCTTTGATACTCTAATATTAATACACACTGAGATTGTCTTTGTTTTACAAATTACTGGATTAACTAATTGTGGATAAAATATCATTTCAGTTTTAAAATAGTAACCTTCCGTACTTATCTTATAACCAAATAATAGTTTTCATAACTTTTTGCATGATACTTTATTTACATTATTTAGCGGAGTTTTTGTATACAAATTTTAACTTAAGTAGAATTGAAATGTTACTCCAGTACATCATTAAAAATTATACATGTTCAAGATATCCACAAATGTTATAAATACTTAATATTTGTTTATCAAGTTGGTTATGACCATAAATTAAAATAAATACATTTTTCAATTTTTCCGATTTTATTAATTTTATTTCGCATCAATAGAATATCTTTTTGGTCAAAAAACTTAGGTAAAAAAAGTTACATAAGCTTCAAACTTTCATGTTGCAACTGCTTGCGTGAAAGTACCTACTTTTAAAAGTGCTAAAAAGGTTGTAAGGGTTAAAACATTGACGCAAACCGTCTTATGTCTTTATACCACTGGTGATCTTAAAAAAAATTAAAAGTATCATTTTTGTTAGTTTATAATTATAATGAATGCTTGCACATAAGAAAAATCCAATTTTCTTATATTATTTTGTTTTTTTTTTTTTCAAAAACATAGGAATTCGCGGAAAAAAACACAAATGTAGACACAGGGGATTTACCCACTGAATTGTTGATGGGATGAACAAAAAAATATTTAATTAGCTTTTGAATATATAAATGGTAGTTTTCAATACATTCAAAATTCCACAGCGATCGATCCAGTAGATTCGGAGAATACGTATCTAACAAAATCCCAAACAGACAATATGTGACATACGACAGGCAGATAGCTACGATCACAAATGGAACACCTACTTTTTCTTTTTCTAGGAGCTATAAATCCGAGAAAAACATTAATTTTTTAGCTGGACAGGTACAAAATATTTGTGTCAATTTGTCAATAGGGTAAATGACTGTCTGCAGGAGATGAATAAATAATTCTTAATAATTAGGTTAGTGATCAACCAAGATTTCAAAGAAGTTCATTATGCAGTTACGTTTTACCTTCGCTATGATATTATCAACACACAATTAAAATTTTAGATTAATTTGTACGATAATTTCGAAAACTACTTCTATTTTCTATTATGATACTTTTTCTTAGTTATCTTTGGCTAACTAAATATAATATAATTATTGTATTTCACACAAGGAAATCCCCCGAGTTAGAAAAGTATTACACAGATATGATTCAAAATTACTTGATTATTATTATTAGAACTGTTTGATTTTTACATACTAAACCATAATAATTCAAATTTACACTCGAATAAATGGACTGACAAAGACTACTACACCACTGTTGTCAAAACTGTTTTCTATGCTCTTCTTTGACATACTTCGAAAGAATTATCTCTAAAATCATTCACACTTTATAATACAAATTCAGACAAATATACTTTCACAATAGTACACCGTCCTAAATGGCAGTTTCTTCACTATGTTTTTAAATACAACACACATTGTTAAGTCTTAACATATTGTTTCACTTAGGTTTCAGACATGCGAAATATGAAAACTGATTCGCAACTACAGAAACAGCCGACCATGAGCAGCGTAAAAAAATTACACTTTCATAATAAAATATTGACACGTAAAGTTGTTTTCAAAGCTATAAAATGTTTTTTTTTATCAAACTTGCTAGTAACCACACATTAAAATTAAAAGCTCCAATGCGAACCTTTTAAGATTTGTGCGTTAAACGTTCAGATTGAACAGATGCTTTATATTTTTAGCAGGAGGTTAATTTTTAATAAAATGGGCTAAATGTTTATTACAGCTTTTTATATTTTGTAATTTTATGTCGTATGTTCACAAATATTGAGATCAGTTTATAAAAATGGTATTAAGTAACACTACACAAATATGGTTAAAACCTTGGTTCCCAAGAATGTTCAATATATTAAAAAATGTTATTAAGTAACGTAATAACTAACTTTCTATGTAGTCATTACGTACAACTTCTGGAGTTTCGTTTGCTGCGATTGTTTAATCCAGAATATCAAATATCCGATTATTATTTATTAAACAAATTAAAAAAATAGGAGCAAAATATTTTAATTAGCATTCGAAAAAGCTTAAACTATAGCTTAAATAATCTAGATACTAATATGACGCATGTATTCCAGAATTAAAATTTAAAGCAATTTTTCGCGCATTGGTCATTGAAAGCTTTAAAATCACTATATTCAAGATTTCTTCTTTATTTGGGATGAAAATACGAGGGTTTGAATAAAACCACAAACTTGATTTGATTAGCCACAAATTAAACACATCACAAGATGGACAAGAGTGTTTGCTGTTTCTTTTAACGGTCAGGCGTATATAGATAATGTTACATAAACAGTGATAAATTGCAAAATAAGTTACCTAAAAAACTATTCATATTTTTTATTTAACTTCTTTGATTCATGGGATAAATTTTTGCTTTTGTAAAAAATAATAAAGTTTCACCAGAGAATCTTATGTAAAAACAAAGTATCAACATCAATTTTAAAAAAACAAATGCGTTTCCATCGTTTCATCATAAAAACATTGATTAAATTCTAAGAATAAAGAATTTAAACATTTGTATGACACAAACGTCTGTACGATTTCAAAATACATTTTAGATTTATCACGAATCAGTAGATTCGAAATAGTTTAATATTAATAATAATAAAATAATGTCATTTTAATTTCAATAAAAGCATATATCTTAATGTTTTTTTATTTCATACATCCCTATAGTCTTCAATTCAGATATGTAACATAAAATCATTTAATTAGAGTCACTAAAATTAATACTCGTATGTCTTACTATATTCTTACCGATAGTTTTAATGATGTTGAAGTCGTCGATATCATATTTATCCTTTTCGTCTTCTGAATATTCCTCTGTGGTTGCAGTCGAGTCGAGGCTATCTGTGCTTTCTTGCCTATTTCTGATTTTGTACTCAGCCATCGTGAAAGCAGTTTATTAAACTAGAAGTCTTTCATAACACGTGTACCGCGCGGTGAAACGTTTTAGTAAGTCGGAAGACAGTCGGTGGTAAACTAAATACTTGGTGTTTGAAAGCCGCGCGTTGCGTCACGGAATGCCCCACCTCCTTTAAATGACCCACGCGTTCGTACACTTAGTACGCAAGTCCATGATGCGACTGTCATGTGTTTTTTGTCGTCGTGGGAGTCAAAAAATTATTGTACAATCATAAAAATACAGTAACCATAAATAGATAAATAAATATGTACAAGAATTTTTTTGAGAGAAAGCCTCGGCCTAGGAAACTTTCCAGGGTACCTATCACAAGTGTAATCGTGACATATACCTGGTTGTGTTATCCTGATACGTCTTTGTCTTAACTTATTTGTTGATATCTCTTTGATTTGCTTGATGTTTTTTTTAGCGTTCATTGTCTTGATGTCCTGATTTCTTACTGAGGACGTGAAGAAAAATGTTCCTTGTCGTTGTCGAGTGGGACTGGACGAACCCACATCCTCTTGCTTGCCGGACACAACCATTTGAACCAATAAGGAGTAATTATTTTTACTCACTTCCACCTGTATATTGTACCGCCACAATACAGTATTTATTATTATTTATTATTATACACATATTGCCAAACATATTACGTAAACATGTTAAATATATGTTAATTTGTTAAGTACATGCTTTTCTCTGCAAATTGTAATGAAGATGTGTATTTGGAATCACTTTGGAAAATTTATTCATAACGTTCATTCAGATCAAAAAACGTCAACACATACAATACGGCCGAAAGTATAAGAATACATTCCAACGGTTATGGAAAATTTTCGCTGGCCGTTGGTAAAAACATTATACCCGGAAGAAGAGATGTCAGAAATAGCAACAGTTTACGATAACGGCTTCATTCACACAACCCAATTTGTCCAGGAAGTATTCGAAGAACATCCACATGTCGTGCCACCAAATTTTCTATTCTGAACCTAATTGAGAACTTCTGGTTGCACATGGTACAGTAGAAGAGACCAATCCTTGGAATGGAGAATGATGCAGAACTGAGACTATTACCAAATATAGCTGAGATTATGTATATAAGGTTGCAGGAGTGCACAGATAACAGTGGATGTTAATACAATACATATTACGAAATCTATTTTCGTAATAAAATATTTCACTTTCATTTGTATCAATTTTAAGGGGAGGATGAAACATTTTTTGCAATTTCTTTTGTATATTTACCGATATCTCTTGACTGTAACTAAAGAGACGTTATAAATCTTTCACTTCACCAGATTGATGATTATATATTTTCCATTTTGGCTTCATTACGACTTATGCCTTGAGTTGCAGAAGAAGGTTGGGACGTACTCATTTTGAGCAATCATAACACACTTAATTTATACAAATATAAATACACTTACAAACTGTATTAAGTTTAGTGTGAGTAATATTTTCTCTCTTGAGTATTTTCTCCTTGCTAAAAACTAAAATCGACAGTAAATTTTAAAATTGTACCAAAAAACCTGCTACGAGTATAACACTTTTCAAATTCGCAAATCTTGGATTATTTAATAAAATAAACAATAACATACTACTACACTTAGACCACAAAATTTGTTACAGTATCTCTTTGAGAAATATTAACCAGTTCTTGTTAATTTTCTCGTAGACACAATAAAGTAAAAATATTGGTATCAACCAGAGAAGAATATTAAAGGATTTCTAGCTTTCTTGCATATTTTGCATTTCTATGAAAAGCCAAAAAAAACATGAAATGAAATTAACCACTCATCAAAATAACCTTAATTAAGTATTAATGACACCATGGGAAGCCAAGTATGTCAACAAATATTATTCGCGTTAAAGTTAATAGAGATACGTCCTCTGATATCAAACACGTATCTTAAGAGGAAAACCGCCATTATAAATTTTGGTGTAGTTGATGCTTAACCTGAATAACAAAGTATTAATATCCTGAAGGAAATCAAAGGAAACTTTACAAGAAAGTGGGGGGAGCTAGCTTAAGGAAATTACAGAAAAAGTACCTACAAGAAGTTTTATATGAAAAAATAACTTGTGGTGTTATTTTCAACATACCGAATTTTCAAATACTTTTAGTGGATCTGTTGACCTCGAATTTGTTTCACTGTTGCTGCTAACTGCAAAAGTCTAGTTGGTCATAATAATTCATAACCATTTAATTAAGTGGTTTAATTTCTTTTAGTTTGTTGCATTTTTTCTGGATTTTGTGCTTGTAAAAAGGTAGAATTCAGGAAGTGAAATTCAAGAATTCTAGAAGGAAGACGTGTGAAAAATATGCTCTCAAGTCAACACAAGCTTCTTTTATACATAACAATAAAAGTTCTTGAATTTAAAGAGTCACTAAGGCAAAATGATATTTGTATATTAAATTGAAACCAAATTTAATATACAAAATGGTAACTACGAGACTGGGGACACTAGGGACTATATGCAAAAAAACTATTGGTAAGACTCGTTTATTAATAGATATGACAATTAATGAGAACTAGTTGTAGTTTTCAGTTTGATTATTCACCAATCTCCGTGACAATCTTTAGGACAATGACTGTTCCGATTAATCTATTCTTAATTTAACCGAATTTTAAAAGTGATTACTGGTTACCTACAACAATATGTAGGATCACTGGGTTGAAGAATATATTTATATTTACCTTATGTTTATATAACAGATATTTTTTTATTCATAAATTCATTTATTTCTAATAAATTCTTGCTAAAATTAATAAAGTTTCATTCCCACATCCATAATTAGAGTACTTAAATGGAAACTAGATTATAACATTGAACATGTAACATATTCCGTTCACATTTTTGAGAGCTCCACCCTATAAATTATCTGCTGTGATAGGTAATATATAAATAATAGTCTTACGTAAGTATTTTCATACTCAATAGCACAATATAATACCATTATTAAAGATTTCCGTTCTGCATTTATAGTTCAGTTGTTAAGTAATTGCACAATGTAATATGTTTGTTAATGTATTATTATTTATAAATAATTTAAAAGAGGCAGAGAAAAATAAAAATTGAACTACAAGCACATTTTTTAAAATCATTAGTGCTGTTGTAATTTTTTTCTTTACACTTGTAAAAAATTATAGCTTTCATCAACGGATTTACAATCTTTTTTATAAACTTTTTTACACTTGAAGCATTCAAGTGAACTGGCATGCGTTCTGATGCATTTCAAATTATTATTAGTATTGTTATGAGTAGGTCAGGAAATTTTTTTGAATTTACGTCAAAATTACTAAAATTCTAGTATTCCTGAGTAAGTATAGTAGTCCGTGTTGTGTTTAGAAAAAAAAACATTGAGTAAAACAGCATACCTACTTTTTGTTAAAATTTGTATATATTCTAGAAAACATCATGGATTTCTTGAAGGTTATAAAACAGTAACTGTTTATTAAAACTATTTTATTTTATAACTACATTATACAGAAATGTGAGAATTGATTTCCTGGTTTCCCAGTTTTAACTTCTTTTCTCACAACATAAAATACAACTTTAAACCAACTGTAAATTATAAAAATGACGTGTTTGAATTTACTTCGTATGTACAACTTTCTCATTAATGATATCGATTTGCTATGACACAAGAAAAATGAAATTAATATTGCAAACATTTTTTGATCAATACTTCTTAATATTTGTTACTTATACAAATTCATTACTGAAATGTAGAACACAAAATCTATGAAACTGGAAAACATAAAAATCGAAACGTTTTCCAAAATGTGATAAACGCTTGGCTGAATGCTTTTACGAATATTTTTTGATCTTTACTAAAAAGTTTCAAGCTATAAAATCTGCATATAGGTACTTAACATAACCTTGCAAATCTGGTCGACTTTTTCAAGAGTGAAACATGATTTTTACACTTCGCGAAGTATCTTTCAATTTCAAGATATTCTGCTATAAGTCTTAGTTTGGGTTTGATAGACTTAAATAAACTAAACAAGGCTCGAGAAAAATAGCTTCACCTTGCGCGTCTGATGTATTGTGTAGATTAGGTAATTAGGTGGGTCATAATATTTTAAAACTAGATATTCAGTTTCGAAAATTCTCTGATCGATGAACGTAGAACAGTAGTCCACGATGTTGTCATAGAAAGAATGAAAATTTCCACGTTTAAAACTGCATCATAAAAACAAACATTGAGAACGAAATCGACCCCTTAAAATCGATGTTAAGATGTTCTAGTCCAGTCAGTAAGTGGTTTTTCCCTACAAAAGGTGGGAAAGTAATGATTTTGATATACAGGGTTAGTGTAAAGTCTCGGAACGATTGAATAATTTTGTTATATGAAAAGCTTTTTTTGGAAATTTTGTGTGGATATATTGTTAAACATGGCGACTTGATTACAATACTTTTTCTTTTTTTTGCCGCTTTCGGTTTGAAAGCCCTCCTATTTTTTTATAATGGATATTTTTCACATTTTCTGATGCAGAATAAAAAAGTAATATCAGAAATTATCAACATGTTTATTTCTACTGACACGAAAAATAGAAAGAAAAAAATTCACAAAGATCACTTAATATTGTAAAATGACGTCATCTTTGAAAATACTAATAAATAATAAACTATGAGTGGGACTACAATGAATGTTCTATTTCAGAAAATGTCAAGAAAATCTGGGTGTTCCATTAAAACAAAAATTAGGCGGCCTTGTCGGTCAAACCGAGAGCGACAAAAAAAAGGAAAAATATATTGTAATCAAGTCGCCATTTTTAACTATACATCCAAAGCAAATTTCAGAAAAAAAACTTTTCAAACAACGAAGTTATTCGACTATTCCGGGACTTTATACTAACCCTGTTTGTTTTAGTGATGAGTGATGAACTGATCACTATGATGAAAAATACAAGCTTCAGATCTTAAAAAAAGGAAGCGTTAGCCGTTATCTTGAATTAAAGTGGCGAAAAATAGTCTTTTTCAAAGTGATACAGAATAATTTCGCAACGGTTCATCCTGCGGAAAAAGTGTTCTATACAAACCTAAAGATGACAAAATGTTGCACATTTTTTAAGTCTAATATTTAACGCAGTATAGCGATGGAAACCTGAACTTTTACGAAAAAATATCAAACACTGAAATAGTTGTTAGCCACTAAACTTGCGTGAATTTCGCCATTTGGACACTTTACTTTTCATCTCCTTTTGCCCCCTCCCCCCTCCGTGAACCCGTATAACTTAAAAACTTACGGGATTCCCAAAGAAACTTTCATCCACTATTTTACTCTTAAGCGTGGAATTTCCTAAAACTCTTTCTTTGAGGGTGCTTACATTACAAAAGAAACCTAATGTCCAACTTTCATGTTTCTTGCTTCGATAGTTTAGGCTCTGCGTTGATCAGTCAGTTAGGTCAAACACTTCTATATATGTAGGTATACAAAATGACGTATTTTCTCTGGACAGTTATATTTTATTTATTTGGTTTTAATTTTTTTGACGGTCCAGGTTCAGATTCACTGCTTTCTAAATCTATACATACTTATAAGAAAATTGTATGTCCTGACTGACTGATTTATCAAGGCGGAGACTAAACTACTGAAGCTAGAAACATCAAATTTGGGCAGTAAGTTTGTTTTGGTAATGTAAGCGCCCATCAAGAAAGGATTTTGGAAAATGTCAGG